ACAGCAGCGAGGAACATGACCTTCGTGATGAAACGCTTGCTTTGAGCTTTGCGGACGGGAGGCTCCTCACCATCGTACAAATAAAATCTCTGCCCGTCGTTGAAGAGGCAGAACCACTTCTCGTCCACGTGAACGAAGTCTTCGAAGTCGTGGAGTACTCTAGAAGAACCGCCGGCTACAGCACTAACCCTAACTCACCGCAATACCCACCTGAGTCTTTCCAGCTTTCCGTCATTACTCAGCAACGGCCTGATCGCGTTTGAGTGTGCCCTCAATCCAAGCGCCGCCAGGTTCCTGTGCAGTGTAGCCACGGGAATCCCCAGCGCCGCAGCCAAGCGGCGCTGGTGGTGCGATCATTCAGCGGGATGCCCTGAGGCGCTGTCTTAACTCTGGGATTGAAATGCCTTTCCTGCCGCACCTGCCCTTGCGCTTGTTGCTCAGATCCGGCTCGGAAACTCCAGCTGCGTGTTGCGCATCGTATGTCTTCCATAACCTCTTGATGGTCACCCAACTGCAACCGAAGTGCTCAGCGGCTGCAGTGTACGCACCATGCTGCAGAACGTTGTTGCTTGCGCGAGGAGGTGCCGAATCACCGCGTTTTTCTGAGATTCGTTGAAATTCTTGCGTTTTGGCTGCTGGGAGGCACCCCCAGCCGCTGACATGCCTCAAATGACGATGGGAAGGCTTTTGGGCGCAGCTTCAAAGATGGGGTGGTGATTTCGAGCAACTTCAGCTGCGTTGGAGAGAGTTGTTTCGGTGGGACACCAAAATGACACCGATTCTGTGCGTTCCGCGCTTCGAGGCCAGAACCAACAAAAAAAACGGTTCGGGAAAGCCCAAGATGGACCCGAGTTTCACCGCTTTTTGTCCAAACCGTACTTACATCACGGAACGGAGGGAGTACATGTATAAGCATGAGGGGAGATGGACACGAACTACGAGGGACACGACTACACGCGCCACCCACCACGCACCACGCAACGTAAGTGCCGTGGAATATCGATTTTTAGCACTGAATGCCACACCTTGCCTTCCCGCCGACGGGAATCGATGTTTTGATGCGGTTCGGATTGACGGGAAAGCACGTGGAGGTCCACCCCAACCAGCAAAACTGCTTTGAACCAGCCGGCCGCCAGAGGGTAACAGTAAAGTGGACCTCAACAGGACAGCAGGTCAAGGCACACACTCGGGAGTAATCGGGCGCAACCTTTCCTCGGCATCGCAATCTCAGGTGAAGGCTGCCTCATGTAGACATTCACCGGCGCACTCACACCCGGACGCACGGAATACAGCAGTAGCCTGCACGCTCAAGTACAAAATTGTCCAACGGCAACGAGAGGAAGACCCGCATGGCAGCAGAACAGCAGTCAGTCTCTGTTGGTGCGTGTAGCATACGTCACGCTCGCATGCTTGCACGCTTGCGCACATAGGGGTCTCTCACATCGCTTCGCGGACTCGTGCTTTTCTTGACGCGTTTGCGCAAAGCTTGTACGAAATGATAGTTTCTGTAGGAACGCGTAAGATCCCACACCCGTGGTATTTTCATTCTGTACAATTTGAACCCCAATCCTCTGTACTCCACGTGCGACGTGTGCATTTGTACCATGTATCCCCTGCCTGTATTTGTCTAGTTCAACCTACATGTATGGCACCACGACCGTTATGACCGTGATCATTGCTGCTTGTATAGCTTGACTGCTGATGGTCCGGCGTTGAGTTTTACACCCCTCGTGCTGTAGGCATATATGAAGTATATGCATACCTCGTCTTAAATGTAGATCAGATTCTCCCATGGATTGTTCCCGCTGGGACCTCGTGCAATTTCGATGGAAGAAGCACGTGGGTGGTTCCGCTCGGCGGCATTGTCTGTTCGAAATCTGTTCAACTACATATGTGTGTTGTAACAAGAGCGGTGCGGATGATGAGATATCTCTGTCCTGTAGGGAGTGCAGATGTGGTCTTGCCCATGTTTCTATTGTCCTCGGTCTGGTGCGTGCCTTTTTGTGTTTGTTGTCGTTTTTTAGCGTGCTAAGGACATGGTTGGGCGAGTCACCAAGGCGCACATGGCGTCGACACGCCAGGACCTGTCCGATAGGCAACTGCTGGGAGAGGATCGGCTACACGAGGACTTCGTGGCGCAGGTGATATTTCCATCTGATTTGCCCTCAACGACTGGTGGCCCCCCGTAACTTTTTTTATCGTCACACCTATGTAAAAGCCTATGTACACGATCGCAGTTCAAACCCATCGCTTGTACCGCGTCCCCACGAGGCGAAGTCGTGTATTAGCACACGTGAGGAAAAACAGAGATTCGCCCTCCTGACGTTGTAAGACAACACTCCAGCGCGCAGCAGGAAAATAGTAAATCATAGAGACGAAAATAATATATGAACGCCGGAACATGAACGCAATAACAGCCCGGGGGTAGCCCCGGCCTCATCTGAAGCCCTTTCCTTTTTTTGGGCCAGGGAGGGTATATATCTATCGATCTGGGTCGAGGATGATGTTATTGCTGTTCGCGGTGGTGTTGATCAAGGAAAGAAGCAACATTTTTCCTCGTTCTTGACCTGGCGTAGGCATGGGTACCGAGTCAGAAAAATGACAGGTGGCCGTCGGCCGTGACAATCGAGCCATTGGCGTCAGATGAGGATCGGCATGGCTACGCTTTGCCGAGAAGTCGGGGAAGCGTGAACCACAGTTATTTATCTGGTCGTCAAGTACGGGAGAGAATGACCGAGGGCAGCCCCGATGGGTTATTAGTGAGTCTGAAAGCGAAGATGTGGTGCAATCTTTGTGACGGTCCCGGCAGAAGCGACAAACCGCAAAAGAAAGCAGAAACCAGGCAGGGCCAGGCGAGTAGATGTGTCATACACGCGCAAGGGCAAAGTGAACTAAGGTGCGCCGAGTCAAACACACGGGGGAAAATAAAGCTAAATGAAAGCGGTAAACAAAGGCAGTCCGACCAGATGAGAAAATGAAACCTTGTGCAGTACAGGGGTACGATACATGCACCACAGGAACTAGTGAAGGACGTCTAGGACAATGAAGGCGCTAAAACATGTCAAGTTCGGGCAATCACAAAACGGACACAAGTCCCACTCGATGAAATGCAGAAACGCCGCAAAATGAAGTGCACAGATGAAAAACCTCCATAACTAGTACGCAGAGTACTCATCATAGACGCGCAAGGGCGAAGTGGCACGAAGTCCGTCGAGTCAAATACTCGGAGTAATTGAATGCGAAACAAACGCGGAAAATGAAATCCAGTCCGACCAAACAAGAAAACTAAATAGCCGAGGACAAGTAAGGCGGGAAAGCGTCTGCCTAACCAATGAAACCTCGTGTAGTCGAGGGCTACGATACACTACTGTAGCCAATATACACGCGGGAACATGAACTCGAAGTAAACGCGGAAAATACACGCAGTCCGACCAGACAAAAAATCAAGGCGAGGCGAAGATCGGGCACGCCGGGAAAGGGTCGAAGCAAAGGAAAGCTCTTGCGGTGGCGGGCTACGATACGCGCACCAGGGAGGAGTCAAGGGCTTCGGCTTGGAGAATGAAGGCGCTAGAATACGTCAAGGACTGGAAATGTTACACCGGACACATCTCCCATCAGATATGATTCATAACGCCGCATCGAAGACGAAAGTGGACACAAGTTCGCCTAGGCGGATGAAGAGGACCGTTTGCCCTTCTTAGAAGGGGATCCGAACTTGAAGACAGGCTTATTTTGATCGTCTACATACTGCTCGATTAGCGCCATGCGAGCTTGCTTAAGGTGGCGACGTCGAATTCTAGAGTGGCACTTGTAGCAGCGCACTTTGCCCAGGCCGCTGTTTTTTTTTACCTACGGATGTCTGTCGTGGTCGCGCAGCTGAAGTATGCGGCATCTTCTTCATTTTTGACAGGAGTCCCGGTCTCCCAACACGCCGACGGATCGACATGAATGTAGGTCTTGTTCGCACCCTGGTGGAAAGGGGTTGCCGGTTCCATGTCGGCGCTGCAAGAATCACACGGGAGGGGGTCGATATTCTCGGCGGACTTGTTTATGGCAGCCAGGGTCTTGGAAAAGTTTGTCCAGTGACCGCACCCGCACCTGGCATTATTATATGGCAGTAAGGGTTCGAGGGGGCGTGGCGGCAGGGAGAGGGAATGAGTGTTGGTTGTAGGTGTTTTGACAGTTTTGGATTGTAGGTGTTTGACAGTTGGCAATGGGACGCAAACGGCACGAGCGGTTCAAAGGAGGAAAAGTAGGCGCAAGCATTCGCCGCATATTAGCAACATTGTCACTATTCAATCCCACATTCGGTGCGGCAATAAAGTCGACACATCACTTTTTTTTCGCGTAGCAAGTGCTTTGACGATAGCAACTATTGTACAACAACGCTGCTGTGTACACATGGGAATGACAAAAAAATATGACCCGAGAAACGAAGACAGAAGGAAAGAAAGGAAAGTAATACGAATGACGTGGCGCCCAAACCAAAAGAAGTGACAGTATTCTGTGTGCATGGACTGCACACAGTAGTGGTGGTGGTGTAGAACGGCTATTTCTGAATTATTATTTATATGGACATGATGACCGCTCTTATTTGTGAATGATGGGTGCCCGCGAAATACGTCACGACGTCTACTAAATAGATACATATATATATACATTTGACACGGAGCGGAAAAGCGAGGCAATACCCCTCACGCTCTCGTATGCATGCGGAAATTTATGCACGCACGTAAAGTTGTTATTCAGTGCCGGCTCTGTAAGGCCGATTTTAGTTGACTCGGCATAACTTTTGACACTGCGGTCATGGATTTCGATCATGCTTTCACGCACGTACTTCTTGCTTCCCCTCGCTGCCTCGGCAAGGTTCTGCGTAGGCATGACCCATAGCGAGCGGGGGGGTCTTTCTAGCGAGCAGGGCTAGACTCACCCTCAAGGGACCGATACCTTCTTGCTGCGGCGCACCCGCCGCGAGGCGTGCGTAGTGGTGGAGTTGGGTCGGCACTGGTGCGTCAGGTACAAAGGTGCAGATGCGCGGGCCTCCAGGCCGTCGGTGGTGGCAGCGATGCCCATCTCATCCTTGTGCGCGGAGGCAGACGTCATCAGAAAGGTGGACGGGCACTATGTACACGGCCCTAGGTTTGCTAGAGGGAGCTGTACTGTCTCAGTAACCTGGTTTTGCCATCAAAGGAGGAGGGGACAGGTGGTGACGAGCTGATTGGGCTGGTTGACCCTTCGGCGCGAGAATTTTCAGACCAAGAACCCTAAGTGCAACGAGGGAGAAAGCGAGGAACCGGCTGGGAAGGACAGCAACGAGAGCGTGTACGAAGCGGAGCGGGTCGAGTTTGGTCGTGCTAGGACTGGCCACAGCGGCACCGGAGCATGGGCACCGGAGCAGCGGCACGGAGCAGCGGAACCGGAGCATGCGGACGGCATCGAACCGTGGCGCACGGACAAACATCTCTTGTGTTGTCAATTATTTTTCCGTTTTTTTCCTGAATACAGGTGTTGGGTGTGTGTGACGACGTCACTGGTTTTGTAGAGAGACGCGGCAGAGATGGCGCGGATAACCCGGGTGCTTTTAATTGTGTACCTGCATCGTGGAAGACCCCTTCAATGTGGAACGATTCCTAGTCAGTGTCGATGTTCACACTGCTGTGCCTAACACAGATGATCTGGATAGATTCGGGTGATTGTCAATTGCAACGATGGCTTTGGTTGGGTGTTCTTCTTCATTGTATGTCTACGGACTCATTCTGACAGCACTTCAGACAGCAGCTGCATGCCCCGAGCTTGTGTACCATGCACCATGGTGTTATTATTGTACAGGCAGCACTTCAGACAGCAGCACGCTGTAGTCGACAAACATTCATTTTGTGTAAATGCGGGACAAGGGGGGTGGTGCTGCTGCTGTAGTCGATTTGTAGTGTGTGGGCGTATAGTTCAGTTGTGAGCATGCAAACGTGCTGCAGGGATTGCAGGTGTACCTCCTCGGGCTTGCGTACCCTTTTCTTGCTAATAGTATGCGTGTTCTTTAGATCTTCTGATGGCTCTAGCATTTTTGTGACCACGGACCGAGTCTTCGCTAGATTTTGGGATTAGCAACTGACACGAGTTTAATGTGAAGAAAAACAACAAACAACAACATAATGTCCAAGACGGAACTGACAAGACCCGGTATCCAAACATTGCTTATCAGGCCCAAGTAAAATGCTCACTTTTTTCAAGAGAAAATATGTGGCAATATGATGCAACAGTAGTTGTCAGGCCCAATAGCCAAGGAGTTTGGGGGAAAGTGCAGTTCGGGAAGAAGCAAGACTGACCCACGATCGTAAAGGATCGGCACATACAGGTGGTAGCGCATGTCGCACGCGAAAATGCAGTCGTGTGGGCAAGTACAAAGGCACATTCAGTACGGGTTGGGCGCTTACAAATGGCATGGGCATCCTACACGCGGGCATGTTCGCAGTGGATAAAGTACATTTATTCACACGTAGTTGCGGATACAGAGACAAGTGAGGAGCAAGCAGAATGTTCGTGTACACAAGAAGGGAAAAAGCAAGAAGAATGTTGGTGTACACAGACAGGAAGGGAAGGCACACGCACTTCGCGGGATTTACTCACAGGAGGGACATGTTGTGTTCCCAGGTCTTCACTTCTGCGCTGGAGGGCGGGTCGAAGCCATTGTAGCAGGTCAGGCACTGCGGTTCCTTCTCATTCAGCTCGCCGGCAGCCTTGCGGGGGTCGATCCTCGTCGTCGTCGTCGCTTTCTTCTTGGTTGGGGTTGCGGCCTTGATATTCTCGTCGTCGGACGAGAATTCCTCTCCGTGTGGCGAGCTTCTCTTAGACATGTGTAACGGGGTGGTAGAAATGTGGTGCGAGCGGGAGTGTAGAGGATGTGTGGGTCGGAGTGAGCGAGGTGGGAGGGAGTGGGCAGTGGGGTGGAAGCGCATGGAAGCTGTGGGCGTTTTACATGGGCGGGGTGAGGTGTTGTGTTTGAAGTGAATTCTTAATCCAGGTAGGCGTAGGAACGCGCGCCCTGACGTGCGATCAACCAACGTGTTTTACAATCAAGGAAGTTCTGGAAGTTCTAGTGTTGTATTATGTAGAATGTTTCGAGATGATGGGCAGAGCAAATAATGCTGACGTGCGATCAACCAACGTGTTTTGCAATCAAGGAAGTTCTGGAAGTTCTAGTGTTGTATTATGTAGAATGTTTCGAGATGATGGGCAGAGCAAATAATGCTGACGTGCGATCAACCAACGTGTTTTGCAATCAAGGAAGTTCTGGAAGTTCTAGTGTTGTATTATGTAGAATGTTTCGAGATGATGGGCAGAGCAAATAATGCTGACGTGCGATCAACCAACGTGTTTTGCAATCAAGGAAGTTCTGGAAGTTCTAGTGTTGTATTATGTAGAATGTTTCGAGATGATGGGCAGAGCAAAGAATGCTCCGGTCCACGGCAGAGTAGAATGCGCTATGCAAGAGGTCTGTTGTGGTGGCCGTTTGTTCAGGGTGTGTGCTGTCATGGTCGTTCTGGATTGTGCGCTGGCTCGGTCCGAGTATGGTTGGTCACGTAAGCGTAAGTCACTCAGCAGCGGCACAACTTGTCTTGTCCACCCCCCACGGACCGGTATACTGCAAATATTTTCCCCTGGTCTTGAGATAACTTCATCACACGTGTTGACGCTCAGGACCCTTGGACCAAGATATCATCTGGGCGGGTATATGTTACTGGAACATCCCGATTACCTGCCCAGATTCCTAGTATTCCGAGTTTAGGCAGGTAGCAGTACAATGGTTACTAGCAGTAGCAAGCGATGTGCAAGCGTCCCCCCCTGCTCAGTGTCTTGCCGTGTGTTGGCTGGTGTTGCCTGGGAGAGAGAAATGAAGGATAAGGGAGGAAACAGATGAAGATGCGATGCGGCTCCAACCTGCACACGTCGACTATGTAGCTCCACTGAACCCGCATCAGAGATTGTCTCATCTCGCCTCATTTCGTCACACACCCCCGCAGGGGAGCGTTACTGTATAGACAAGCACAGTAGTGCAACAATCCGTGATCTTCTACTGCGTAGAGATCATTTACCGCTACTGCGTAGAGAGACGCCATGAGAAGAAGGTGGGTTGGGATGGTGCGCTACACGTACATACATTCATGGATGAATGCATGAAGCAGACGCTCAGGGACGCTCGCGCGCCCTGGCGTGATGTACTTGAATGATGAATTGTCATTGTCATGAATTGGCATGCTACCAATTGTAAGTGGCGATCCGGGTTTGTTTCGCCACGAAGGCAAAAGGCACACAGCAGTGAGTAGCAGCATTTACTCTCTGTTTTGTACGCCTTTCACTTCGGGAGGATTATTCTATGGTACTGCATTAACAATCCGTGGTCTTGAACTGCGTAGAGAGATCATTTACCGCACGTGTTGACGCTTTGTGCAGGTGGATTTGGGGTGGTGCTGTACGCCGTTGCGTTATTTACACAACCAGACCATGGAGGTTGGGAACGAACGGTGCAGTTGAAGCTTGAAATTGGAAGCTGCATGGGTACTTCTCCTGTAGGTACTGCAGACTTTGTAGTTGAAGTTCGGGTGACGACAACACTGCATTGATTGGGGTGACATCCTGTCACCGCCGATGGCTCTGATGTTGGACGGTAGTGAATCCCGCGTGCATTGTGCTTTGAAAAAATGAATCGCACGTAAATCGCCGTGGTCATGTTGGGGGATTGTATGAATTCGTCTGCGATCAGTGGTGCTCTCTGCTTAATCAATACCGGCTACGTCAACGATTCTAGGCAACTCTGCGTTGTGCGGCTGTTTGGGCAACACGTGTGTAGGCAACACTTATAGGCGGTACTCCCGGGCACATCGCTGCGGCGGTACGTGCTGCGGTTTCCCCTAGGGCGGTTTCCGTGGCAGCTCGCATATATGCAAGGATGTGAAACGGTGTGCCATGCGACTCTACCGCGGCATCTCTACTGGCGTCTGCGCTACTTCCCGCTCTCCTTTAAGCAATACTTTGGAAGACGGGGTGATGCACGCTACCCTGCGGGGCGTCCGCGGACGGGGGCTCTACTATTGCCAAAGATTCGCGCACGTAAACGTAGAGCACCTGATTCCCAGCGTTCCAGGTGGGGTCAAACGAAAGGGACCCGTTTGTATTTCCACGCTGCATGCAGTCGTACTTTAGCCACCTCCCCTGCAATCTCGCCCCCCCCGGTGTTTGCCATCGGGATTGGGTTTTCGTCGCTTGGCAATGACGTTGTAAAACACGCCAATTCACTTCGTGAACTCGGCAACCAGGTTACCGTGTTTTTTTTTCCTCCGTTTTTTTTTTGGCGGCAACCATAATGGTGGTCGAGTAGATCATGTTGTGCGGGGTGAACCCTCACTCCGCGCAAGGGGGATGATCGCACCACGTTGTGTTAAGATGGTCAAGCACCCTCGAGGCAGTTACACAGTGCTTACAACTGTCTCTGGAAGTGAAAGCACCA